CCTCCTGCGTGTCCTGGTCTGTATGTAACCTTATGGCTCTGGAATAAAAAGAGCCAAAGCTGCACCTTTTTCAAAGCAGGCTCTCCAGCTCCCCTCAGCTCATTAGTTTTGGTGTGTGTCCTTGCACCTTTTGATTGACTCTCACCGTTCTCGTCTCGTTCCCATTGGAGAGCTTTAAGTTTCTCTGAGGAGTTGATCAAGATGAAGCCAGAGGTAAATGCATACAGAGCTTATTCACTGTGTGAACTTTAAGTGGCCTCAAATGTTGCTGTGTGATGAGAGCATATGTATAATCTAATAATAATAATAGTATACACACTAAGTATATACATACATACCTTTTCAAAAAGGTGTTGTTTTCACATTATGATCATTTCTGAGCTTTAATTTGTGATTTTTAATTAATTAATCAATTGTTTTGCAAGAGGTGTAGGTGCACCTTACAGGATGAACCACTTTTCCCGTCATAACTGCCTTAATTATCCATTGATTGTAGTTCATATCGACGTGACAGCATCACTGCTGCAGATTTGTTGCCTACACATCCAAATGTGCTCCATTGATTTACGACCTAGAGGCCATTTGAGTGCAGTGTGTTGTTCAAAATATAAGTGTGAGATGATTTGAGTTTTGTGACATGGGACAATATCCTGTTGGAAACCATGGAAACGCTGTGGTCATAAAGGGATGCACATGGTCAATAACAATACTGCTGCGGTGTTAAAATGATGCTCAGTCGGTACTCACGGGCCCAAAATGTACCATTAAAATATTCCTCACACCATTACACCACCAGTGGCCTTATCCACTGATACACGGCATACAGTGGGTCCTTTGATGCTGTTTACAGCCTTGCAGTGAAGAGTTGACAGTAAAGTGTTTTCCCCAGAGAACTGCTGCTTACTGGATATTAACTGTAAAGCCTGCAGATGGTGGTGTGGGGAAATCCAGTGTTGTGTTGTCTGAACAGCAGTTTGTGAAATACTCATACCAACCTGTCAACAACAACATGTTCAGACTCACCTTTCTTTTGGGCACAGCTACAGCTTCTTTGTGCCTTCCCTTGTTTCCTTTCTGTTCTCTACAGTCCCTGTCCAAAAAATGTCCAAAAAACAATAATTGGAGAGAAAGAAAATGCCCAGTCTTATGCTTGGTTTAAGCTTCAGCAGGTCTTCTTAACCATACCTCAGTGCACAAAGTTCCTGATTAGATATTCAGTTTAACAAGTGGGTGAACAGGTGTTGCTAACATCTTCGTTCTTGTCTACAACGTGAGCAAAATATCCCCAAACAGTTGATTGACCTTTTTCAAATGGCGGATACAGTTTGATTGATGATGTTTAAGGTTAAATATTTCAATTTTTGTATAAAAAATGATTGGGACATACACCTGAACATGCAAAAAGACGTGTGTAACACATCAGTATCAAACCTTCAGCAGTCACTGTGAACTTATGAGGCTTTTATGAAGGAGTTCCTCAGGGAACTTTCCGAGTGCCTCTGTTTTTACACTTAGCTAATCCAAATGCATCTAACTGAGAGGGCTGTCTGCTCGTCTGCCCTCTGTTTAGGTCTTCACCACCTACTCTAACGAAGACTACGACCGACGTAATGATGACGTTGACCCCATGGCAGCGTCAGCTGAGTACGAGCTGGAGAAGAGGGTCGAAAAGTTGGACCTGTTTCCCGTCGAGCTGGAGAAAGGTTTGCATGCGTCTTACGTGTCACCGAGAGTCACTCAGTCAAGCCTCTTATGTGACTGTACACACTCACACAAGAGGCTGTTAGCGGACATACACTGTCACTCTGCTAACAGCTCCTTTATCCCCTTATGGGATTAAATTTAGCACAGATTGGCCTAATTAGTAGCCAGTAACTCTGAAGGTAATGGATTTGAACCAGCAACCATGCGTGACGGCTGCTCTCAGCTCTGTATAATAGCTATAATTTCACTAATATTTAATAGCTTGGATGTGGATAAATCCCACATGCTTTTTCCTGTCACTCTATAATATGATTGGTTATTATGATAGCAAAATAAATATGACAGGATTAACAGTAATGATGTATTTATGTTTTTCAGCATTGAGATGAAGCTCTGTTGTCTGTGTGTCTTTCAGACAGCGACGGCCTCGGCATCAGTATCATTGGTATGGGTGCAGGAGCTGATATGGGCCTGGAGAAGCTGGGCATCTTTGTCAAGACGGTCACTGAGGGTGGAGCTGCGCAGAGAGACGGCAGGTACCTTCAACCTGCCTGCACCTGTCCCGACTTTGGTTTTGACCGAAACCTGTATCTAAAAGTTGGAAGTAGCCAACATAACATTACGCATTTTTCACTCTTTCAATTTTATTTATATAGCTCGAAATCACAACAACAGCTGTCTCAAGGTGCTTTATATCGTAAGGTAAAGAGACTGCAATAAATCAAAGAGAACAGAGAAAACCCAACAATCATATGACCTCTATGAGACAGTGGGAAGGAAAAACTCCCTTTGAACAGGAAGGAACCTCCAGCAGAACCAGGCTCAGGGAGGGGCGGCCTAGACCTAATGCAGCATAAGGGACCAGTCAAGGTCACATGATCCAACCCTAACTATTAGGGGTGGGG